CCAGCCACACTGCCTGTGCTGGGACTGCTGACGACCATCATCGCGGTGCCTGCTGGCACCTGCAGCCACCTCCCTGGCAAGCTGCCCTGGGCAGAGCATGCAGGGGCAGGGATGGAGGAGGGAAGTTCAGCACTACTATTCAAAGGAGAAAACATGGCTTCTTCATGGCCTGGGGGCTCCACCTCCACACGTCACCCTGCCCCGTACACGGTACAGCCAGACAGGCGCTCCAGCTCACAGGGAGGTGACCAGGACCTGGGCTGCTGCAAGGACAGCCGTGGCCAGGCTGAGTCATGACCAGCTGGGTCCCAGGCAGACGTTCCTGTGGGCTGGGGTATGACTGGTGACGTGGGAAGTTGGGGAAGGATGAGGAGTGCAAGTCCTTTTTTGTGAGCTGGGAGACACCTCCTCCCCCGCCAGACAGCAAACCTACAGATGCATCCCCAGGTGACTCACAGAGGTTCAAAGCTCAGACTGACCAGTGGCTGTGGTGAAGATATGCATGGGAAGGGAGTCAGTGCCAGTGTGCCCTGGCCAGGGAGCTGAGGAGAGCAACCATACTGCAGCAGAGACCCAGTGTTCCCAACAGTCCCACTGCTCCTCACCAGCTGCCACTGTCACATTAAGTACAAGGTAAGAAGTGTAGCTGAGGGCTGGAGTTGCACCAGACCGTGGCATGACCCAGGGTCTGCTGCCAGCTGATGGAGAGGAGAACCTGGGAGTCATCTCAAGGAAGCCATGGTAGCCCCCCAGCTCCACTGCACCTAGCCAGCAGCTGGCAGGAGCTATCCAGGCTCTCCTGCCTGACCCCAGCCTCCACAAGCTTTCTCTGGCAGCCTTGGAAGCAGCCAGCTCCACTCTGCCAGTACCCACAGCACCAGCATGTGCCTCAGTTGACTGGGGTTATGCTGGAAAAAGCCATCACAGATGCTTAGCTCTAGGCAAAAAAGAAAGCCATGGGCACAATGCAGCTCATGGCTACACCCGGAGCATGAGCAGAAGTGCTCTCTATGCAGCATAAGTCACAGTCTCCACGGGCCAAGAGGATGGGGGTGCTTGCTTGTACAAGGTCTGTAAGGAAAACTTTCTAGGGCAGACAAGCCAGCCAGTGGAAGGAAGGAGGAGGGAGGCTCCATGCTCACACCAGGGACTTCCTTGGGTTAGATGAAGGGCTGGGACCAGCTCTGTGTGACTCACTGTGCTTTTCTGAGCTGTGCTGCTGCCCTGATGCAACCCTCGCTCCAGCAGGAACCAACTGCAAGGGGCCATCACTGGTACTGGGAAGAAACATGGGAGGAGTAAGAGCTGCTATTAAAAATTATCCCTTTGCAACCCGCACACCAAAGACACTGGCTGCTGGAAAGGGAGAATCCCCTTCCACCCACCACTTTGTGTGCAGCTGAAAATATCCGCCGGTACCACCAGATGGACAGGATACCCAGGCTCCTCTCAGACACAGTTCTCTGAACAGCCTTCAAAGGCGAAATCACCAACAAGGAAGCAAGCAGCTCAGAAAAGTAGTCCCAAATTTCTCCAGTCCCGAGCTGTTGCGCATTTGCTGCTTACTCACTTCTTGCCAAGCCTAGAGCTGCCGGGTTGGGCCCCCGCCCTCCCCTCTGGCACAACTACTCCTTACAGCTTGGAAGCTATTTTTTTCCCACTCTGCTATCTTAAAAAAGAAAGAAAGAAAGAAAAAGGCGTGAAAGCTTTTATCATCCTGAAAACATGCCAACTGCGAAGGCGACTCTGTGTCTCAGACGCCTGTTTCCTGGCAGATTTTAAGTCCTTTGCTCAACTGCTTGGATGGCGGGGGCAGGAGGTGCCTGCAGCAGCAGGCTGTGAACTGCAGTTCTAAACACTCACATGTTTAACTACTGCTAAATTACCAGGGGACCAACATTTTCAAACAGCAGGCTAAGAGCTGCACACACAGCCAAGTGGCCCATTCGAGGTGAAGTGATGCTGTGCAAGCAGATGAAGGGCCACTAGCACAGCTACAGGAGGTACCAAGGGGGGTCACATGGCTCAACACCTCCACCTGGGTACAGCTGTCACGCAGTACAGAGGGGGGTCACCCTGCTCAACACCTCTGCCTGGTCAGCCACCCCTTCACTTCCCAGAGAGTGAGGCTTCAGCTCTGTTGGCACCCAGTCGTTTGAAGGGAAAGGATGGGACCAAGCGAGCAGGGTGAGCAGGGGAAAAGTGCTGGATGTCTGCACTACTGGTGCCCAAATTTCCAGTTAACAGCTCTGGCTGTAACCAGTTCGTGTGCTGGGAAGTTCATGCATAGCCTGAGAGGTGGGGACAGCCCCTGCCTTGCTGCTGTCCTGGAAAGAGCTACACACACAGAGCCCTTCACCCCAGCAATGCTTTTTGGGGCTCCAAAGTGCTTGGAGCTGGTTTTGTACACAGAAATCTCCTTTCCAGCCCCAAACAGCAGGGGCTCTTAGAAAGGGTGGGTAGTCATGAGTGGATTTTTGGACTGTGTGGATCTGATGGCACGTTGGACCCATAGGAGTATAAGGCTTTAGTTTATGCCAGAGCACAATGTACCCTGAGGCCATCAAGATATGTAGGGGCAGAATCCATCTCTATTTTTGGGCTGACAGGGGGATCCCAGCAGCTGACTGTTCTGGAAGCTGAAGTGAGCCTGACCAGGAACAAAGGGCAGAAATACCCCCTTGTGACTGGCCCAGAGGCCCCATGTATCCTTGGCATATACTCCCAGGAGAGGGTATTTCAAGGACACAAAGGGCTTTTGGGATAGCTGCTGTGGAGACAGAGGAAATCAGACAGCAGAATACCTCACCTGGTTTCTCAGAGGATCCTTCTGCTGTGGGACTGCTGAGGTTGTAGAACAACAGGTACTGATGGACAGACCAGATGGTACAGACTGGAGTCCAGGGCAGCCAAGTGGTGCCACCATCGATATTGTTAATGTGTTTTTCTCCATTCCTTTGGCAGCAGAATGTAGGCCACGGTTTGCTTTCATCTGGAGAGGTGTGCAGTACACCTGGAACTGACTGCCTCAAGGATGGAAACACAGCCCCACTATTTACCATGGACTGCTCCAGACTGCACTAGAGAAGGATGAGGCTCCAGAACACTTAAGAGCACATCCATGACATCACCCTATGGGGGAACACGGCAGAGGAAGTTTCTGAGATCTTCGCCTTTTGTCCTCCAAGTCTCAACTCCACCCCGCCAGAGTGGGAAGGGGGAGGGAAAGGGAGAGTGAGAGAGCAGTGTCTGCTTTGGGAGAGTCTCTGTGGGGGCACTGAATTGGGGAGTACCATTCCTAAACTACAACAAGGTAGAAGGCTATCTCTTGGCACGTGACCCACAGCAAAACCTACCCTAGCACATACCTCTAACCAGCCCTGCTGCCAGCTGAGGATTTTCCTTAACATTTCAATCCAGGCCATCCAAGCATTGCTCCAATTCTTCAGTTACTTGGAACCACCTGCAAAAAGAAAACTAAGTAGCCTGGGAAGACAGGGATTGATGGCCTTTCAGATTCACTTTTTTTCCCTAGGGACAAGTTCCTGGGAAGAACGTGCCACGCCAGCTGCCTCCTGTGCCTCCTGCCCTGCACACACACTTCTCTATCCACTTGAGAGCCCAGTTCACTAATAAGAGGAGCAGCCTTCATCCTCCTCTGTACTTAGAATCATGGAATAAGAGAATTATACAATGGTTTGGGTTGGGAAGAACCTTAAAGACCATCTTGTTCCAACTCCCTGCCATGGGCAGGGACACCTTCCACTAGCCCAGGTTGCTCTAAGCCCCGTCCAACCTGGTCTTGGACACTTCCAGGGATGGAGCAGCCACAGCTTCTCTGGGCAACCTGTGCCAGGGCCTCCCCACCCTCACAGGGAAGAATTTCTTCCCAGTATCCCATCTAACCCTGCCCTCTGGCAGTGGGAAGCCATTCCCACTTGTCCGGTCACTCCAGGCCCTTGCCCAAAGTCTCTCTCCAGCTCTCTTGGAGACCCTTTAGGTAATGGCAGAGGGGAGGGCTCTAAGGTCTCCTCAGAGCCCTCTCTTCTCCAGGCTGAACAATCTCAATTCTTGGATGTCTTCACCTTCTTCATCTCCCACCTTCTCCCCATTTAAGCACAAGGATGGCTGCAGCTGGGGCCAGCCAGCCCGAAAGCAACAGGCTGGAGGACGGGACACAGTCAGCATCTCTCCGTGGCCTCTGCCAGCAGGAAGCTCCTGCCAGGCCCTGGGGGAGCAGGGCTGTCATGGTGACATTTCTCTAACAGGCAGCATCAGTGACAGTGTCTGCACTGCCAGAGCCAAGTGGCATCAGGCAAACTGCCTTTGTTCAACAGTCCAGCTTAAAGAGAGAAAAACAGCAGTACTACCAGTGTGGCAGGAGATAGGTATGGTCAAGGTGCCAGCCACTCCCATTGCAGGTGGTTTTAGGCATTAACTTGGGTCAGAGTCAGTTGCAGCAGGTTGCTTTCCCAAAGTTAAGAAGCATCAGTAAACTTTTTTTTATGTTCAAGAGACAGCACTGGTATTTTTGTGTGCCAAACTGGGATCATCTCCAGTAGGGGATGGCCCTGCCTTCAGCTGTGCCCCATGACAATTCCCTAGGGTTTTGTGAACACTGGTGTCCGGAGGAAGGAAAGGCCTTCCCCCACTGCAGAGGTTCCCAGCCCCAGACATGCAAGTGACCAGCTGAATTTCACAGCCTGCAGGAAGGACACATTTTGGGACACTTCCTATAGGGCAGGCCAAACAGGGAACAGAAAGGCCAAAAGGGGGGAGCATCACCCATGGGAAGCACATGCTTTTAAGGCCAAGAGAAGGCAAGTCCATGAGGTAGACATGATCCGCAGAGATTTCTCATTGCTTGTGTTGCGTGAGGCAGTAGCAGTCTCTTGATTCACTGTGCACAAGGAAAAAACAATTGTTTTAAGTAGTTTTTCCAGCGATGGAAATAAGCTCATATTTCAATTCCTATTTACCAAAACAGGAGCCAAACTCAGTGCTGTATGAAAGTGTGTTTATTCCAAAGCTAAATTTCTCACATAAAGCAATGTCTGTGAACAGCAGCATTCATCCTGACAGATCTCCAACAGTCTCCTGGGCTTGGAGTCCTGACCCATTCCAACACAGCACTTGGGAATCTCTTTTCAGAGTTGTCAGGAAGGGGAGGGAAACGACAGAAAACAGATGCATGGCCATTGGCACAATTTCAGAAATTGTGCCTGCTCACAAGAAGAGCAAATGTATCAAGACACTTTGCAGGGAGATTAATGCCTGTACAAAGATCCCACAGAACACCCTGCTCCATGCAGACTGCCTGCAAAGAGGCAGCTGCCCCTATCAGGAGAGAGCTGTGTTATTCTTGCAGACAGAAACCAGGGCTGTTGGATTTAATTATCTGCTGAACTGCTTCCAAGGACCGAAGTAGTTGAGAGGTCATGTCAGAGAGGTGCTCCTTCGAAGCCCAGAGACTTTGCACCCTGGTGCGCTGCTCTGGTCCCAGCTGACACTCTAGAGGGGATTCCCTTCTTCCCCCAGCCTCAGCCTCTTGGAGAGGTGGTTGCTGATGGCCATGAGGGGGTTGGCTCTGTACTTGGGATCAGTGATAACCTCATGAAACCGAGCCACTTCCTTCTCTCTGAGGAAAGAAAAACAACACGCAAATTCTCTAAGTGCCTCACACAAAAGAAACTGAGCAGATAAGGACCAAACTCATAAAGCAGTGGATTTCTGTCGAGACAGAGTGATCCTGGGTGTAAATCTCAGAAAGAGACAGCGCAAGAAATAAACCTAATTTAGCCAAGGGCAAAGCTCAAATTGCTGCCAGCTTCATGGGAGCCAGAGGCTTGATCTCATGCCACAGAGACAGAAACAATCTTGTTAGTGCCCAGCATCACTTGGAAATGGTTATTTCAGAACTTTTCCCTAGTAGATCAAGGGACTGTGGGTATCTGGTAAATCACCAGGAATGAAAATTACTTCAGACTGCACCAGCACGAAATCAGATTCTCTTCTGAGAGCTCATCTACTGACTTTCATTGCTGAAAGTCTGGTTGCTACCAGCCTTTCATTGCTGAAAGGCTTGGTAATCCTATGTGCAACTCTAGTTAGATGCCATGGGAAGAGCAGCTGCTTGCTGTGGAAATGGTCTTGTCTTAAAAAGCAAGCACCCAGGGAAAAACAAGAACAGAGTAGGAGTGTAAAAGAAAACCTGTGAGTTTTCACACAGCCACATCCATTGCAGCATCCCCATCTCCCTCAGGCTGCCAGGCTCTCCACATGCTTGCCAGACACACAGCTGTTGGCATTCAACTACTCCCCTCCCAAGTAAGGGCCTTCCCTTCAATGCCAGCCCTGCCCCTGGCAGAGGGAAGAGAGGAGCCAAATCTGAAGCTTGGGTTTTGGTAGATGGGGCAATATGGTGAGTCGTAGGGAACCTCCTACCCTAACTAATATCCTGGGAAACAAACCTCAAGACCTTACTCCAAGCTATTTCCCTCCCAAGAAGCACAGATTTCCCAGACCGCTAAAAAGTAAAGAAAGGCAGAAGCAAGGAAGGCATCCCAGCACCAACAGCGGCCAATTTCTGACAGAGAAGGGTATTCATGGAGTGTGCTGGAGATCTGTAGCCTGACTGTTCAGCCTCAGTTTGAAGCTGAATGGCTCAGAACTGACAGAAATCCTGGAAACATGAAAGCAAACACTGCCAGATCACAGTGCCTAGCCCCAAGAGAGCTGTGCTGAGCGAAAATGAAGTTCTTGATGCCTAGTGGCAGTATAAACTATCCAACAGATTACACAGAGGAATAAGGAGTTGCCAGACTAAGCCCAGGAATCATTCAAAAGCATTTAAACTCTCCATCCTTCTTGATATTCAAAAGCCATGTGGACATGGCCCTGAGCAACCAGTTCTAGGTGACCCTGCTGGTTGGACCAGGGGTCCCTTCCAATGACCCCCAGGGGTCTTTTCCAGTCTCAGCCATTCTGTAAGGCTCAGCAAGGACTGGACACTGGTAACTGGGTACTTACAGGAGCCGATGTTTCTGAGCTTGTTTCATCAGACAGAAGTCTGATGGTTCTGCCTTTGCTATATGGCTGTGGAGAGAAGAAACAAAACAAGTGAGCGAGTGTTAGAGAAGAGCAGCGATTTAGAAATGGCTGCGGAGATGGAAGCAGTCCAGGAATTCTGCATTTGCCTTCCCAGAGAGGACAGGTAATCGTCCTGCATGGAAATTGTCCTGAAAGGCAGTTATTTCACAGCCAGGCACTGCATGGAAATGCAAACTCCTTCTGGCACAGACTGACAGAGCAGGAGGCATTGCAGAAAAACCAGATCGCTTAGTTCCAGAACTGGTCATTAGCTGTCCATGCCCAGATCACTTTCTGCTTATCACTGACCTCCAGGTCAAACCGATCCTGTTGCTTAGAGAAAAGATTCCATTGAACTTCCTCTCACTGCCACACGTGTCACCTCTGCACGGCTCACGTTCCCTACTGACACTGCAGAGCCCCAGCCTCGGCAGCCATCCCTTACAGACAGTGCTATGTACACTCAGCAAGAAGCATCCATGGGATACTGCCAGCCCTGCTCTGGATCCCGCAGTGGGACCACTGGGATATAATGTGTTGGAATGCAGGATGGTGCACTGTGTGCAGTGGAGGCACAGCAGCAGGTATGGATCTGCACTTTCTGTAACCCACTCCTGACTCCTGGGCAAAGTCCAAGGAGACCAGAGGTGTAATCCCATCCCACACAGTGCCTGATGCCAAGCAGCAGCAGAGATTTACCACAAAGGCAGTGCTGACCCCCAGCAAGGGACACATAGGAAGGGCAGCGATTGCTTTTGGGACTTGAAGTGCATAAGGGGAGCTGCTGGTAGAACTGGACATTAAGGAAAGGAGAAGAAACTTCCATTCTTCAGCACTAGACAGATATAAAAGTTAATAGGAGAAACAAGTTGGGAAGTGGGTCTGCCTCCATGGGGTAGCTCCTCTCCTATTTGCCCTGAGGCTGAGCCCCAGCAACAGCCCAAGGGGGAGGAAGAGGGTCTGCCTCTTACCCCTCTGTTGGGGCAGATTCCTCAAGGAGGAATCTTCCCATACTGGTGGGTGCTGGGAGCTAGAACCTTCCTCACCAGATCTGCCCCAAAGGTTAGGAAACACAACAGTTCCTTGCCTTCTCTTCAAGACAGCAGGATCTGGTCTCTTGCTGGCAGTGTTACAGTGACCTTCTCTTCCTATTTCCCACTCTGACATGTTACCCTCCATCCTGTTATTTTGCCTTTTTTCCCCCATTCTTCCTTCCCTCCTACTCACTTGCCTCATATTCATTCACCTTACTCACTTCCATCACCCCTCTCTACTCAATCAGTTCCTGCTCATTTCCCTCCCCTCCCCTCCCCTCTCCTCCCCTCCCCTCATTCTTAACAGCTCAGCACAGGAACAATTTCTTGTCCCAGTTTGCCTGGAATGCTCACAGAAGCCCAGGGAAATCCCTTCTCAAGTTGGATGGCAACCCATGGTCACCAGAGCAGGGCTTGCCAAACCCGTGTGTGCCACCAAGTCACCATGGCAGCCCCTTCAGAAATGAGCAGCTCTGCAGAGGGTGACAAAGCCTAAAGGAAAGCTATTCTAGAGTACATCCCAGGCTGGACTTCCCTCCAAAACCACCAGCACATTGCCTGTTCTCTTGGACCATGTTAGCAGCCCAGATTCATTACACTTCATTGCCTTCATTCATTATAAAACAGAATAAAAACCTCCCTGTAATGCGCCTTTACCCTGCAGGAGATCAAATTCTTGGAGAATCTAATCTTTTATTAATAATGATGACAAATCACCAGAGTATTACCCTTCCTTTCTGCATTGATTCAAATCCTGTAAAAGCCTCCTCTGATTATTTCAAACACTTCTGCACACACATCCAGGAAGCCAGAAGCCAGCAAGGGGAAGAAGAGCCCTGTAGCTCCTCCATGCCATTACTGAGGGGGGGCTGCTTTTGGGTTGGCATGTCACAGGCAAATCTGGCTGACATCACCCAGTGTCAAACTCCCATCTCCACTGTGCTGACTCAGGCTTCCAAAAGGACAGACTAGGGATTCCACACCCCCACAGGAGGTCTGGGGGAGGGAGGGAGCTGACAGCACATCTCCAAGTCTGGAGATTCGTGCAAGATCACCAAACACTTCCAGGTGTGCCACACACCCTCTGCTATGAAGGGCACTACAAAAGAGAAGGTCATTGCAGTTGCTGGGAGGAGTATTTTGGCCAGTGTTTTGCCTTAAAGCATCCTGCAGCAGATGGCCAGAAAGGGATAAGACTGGAGGAATTCTGACTGGAGAAGAGAAGGCTCTGGGAGACCTTAGAGCCCCTTCCAGTTTCCAAAATGGCTCCAAGAGAGCTGGAGAGGGATCCTGGACAAGGGTCTGGAGTGACAGGACAAGGGGGAATGGCTTCTCGCTGACAGAGAGCAGTTTTAGATTGGATATTGTTGGGGTGTCCTGTGCAGGGCAAGAGTTGGACTTCATGATTCTGATGGGTTCCTTCCAACTTGGCATATTCTGTGATTCTGATAACAAATTCTTCCCTGTAAGGGTGGTGAGGCCTTGGCACAGGTTGCCCAGAGATGCTGTGGATGCCCCATCCCTGGAAGTGTCTCAGGCCAGGTTGGACAGGGCATAGAACAACCTGCTCCAGTGAAAGGTGTCCCTGACAATGGTAAGGGTTTGGAACGAGATGGGCTTTAAGGTCCCTTCCAACCCACACCAGTCTGTGATTCTAAGACCAAGGCAAGTGTACAGCCACATCCTCTCCACTCTTTGCTGCTCAGAGACCTAGTGCCAGCTGCACTTTATAGACATGCAGCAAGCCCTCCATGGAGCTGTTGTCACTGGATTTGTCAGGTCCCACCTGAACATACAGGCTTCCTTCAGCCCTGACAACCTGTGGCAAGGAGCTGTGCAAAGCAGCAAGCCTCCTGCTTGTACTGAACCTGTTACTCACTACATACATTTGATGTCCTTTAATTCTCATACTGGAAAAGATCACATCATGACAGAAAGGGGGCAAAGCCACCCACTCAGGCTCAGGTAAGCCCTGGCCCCAAACTCCAGCCAAGCAACTGTCTGTTTTCTGCAAGACTTGAAGTTTTGCTTGTACTTTTGCTGTTCATTCCCACTGAAAGAGAGGGCAGGCTGAATAAATGGTGGCATATAGGAAAAAAAAAAAACAAGAAAAAAGTGCTCCTCGAAGAATTAGAAGCTTGTAGCTATGAGCTGAGCTGAAGGACACTTCATCCCGCAGAAAGAAGGGAAATACACAGCCCATCCCCAAAATGGCACGTACCTCTTGACTGGCTTCCTGCCCCTGCCACCTGCAGTCAGGTCAGAGAGCTCAGGTAGGGCTTCCATCAAGGGCTGCATGTCTCCCACCACAGGTGTTGCTTTTCGCTTTGCTTCGGCTTTTCGCTTCTGCTTCATTATCTTCACACTTTCTATTTCTGAATCAGAAATAAGGCTCTACTGAAGGAAGGAGAAGTGTCTGCAGGAGATAACCCTTGAGCTAAGAAATTAATAGACTGCTTAACCACCTAGAGGAATAACAGGCCAGAAGTGACCTAAACCAGGGAAAGACCAAAAATAATGCAGCTGGGTTATTCCCCCCTTACAGGTTGTGTTTGCTTATAACTCTATACATCCCTTCTGACAGTGCAACGGGAAATGAAATTCCCACACTGATTTTGTCTGAATTGCTCCCATCCCTTACACTGTTCATCACTCACAGCAACACAGCACAGGAGCCCTGGTGTGGCAAAAAACCCCACACTGACCTTGCATGGAACTGGGTGAGAGAAACAAGAGGGGAAGGGACAAACCAAGTACAGTCAGCTCCACATCTGGCCTTAAACAAGCACAGCCCCATCTCTGCTTTGCTGCTGGGACCAAACAGTGGTCTCCTAGCACAGGCAGAAAAGACGGACTTAATTTCAGTTGTTTACTTAGTTCGGAGCGAGTCAAGGTCTCACCTTCATGACTCATGGTGGAGTGCAAGCCACCAGATGCTGGATAAACTGGACCCCTGGAAAAGCACTGCATCAAGTGGCAGAGACAGATGGCTCTTCCTCAGAACCACGTTTCCCAGTCTCCCTGCAGCAGCTCTGACATGGTTGTGGGCACAGAAAGCTCCACAAATGTTATATCGGTCTCCCCCCTTCAGCCATGGGAGGTGGGCTTTGAAAGCCCACAGGCTTCTGCCTCAGTCCTTGAGGCTCCCTGGTGTAGTTTTAAGTCCCACAGCTGCCCAAGCTTCACAGAGCCAGCAGTTGCCAGGGTAAGCTCCAGCAGAACATGCCCTTTAGACAGCCCACAAAAGCCCAGGACTCATACAAGCTTCCAGCTGAATTCCAAGATGCCCCAACCTGACCCAGAAGTCCCTTGGACAACTGCAAGGATGAGCCTCAGTGCTGAGCTAAAAACTCCATGTGTGGACATGACAGAGTGCCAGAAGCTGTGGGGCCAAGCTGGTAGCACAGGCAGGCCAACAGCTTCCACAGAACTATTTTGGTGGGAGCAAAAAAGCAGCCAGTCCCACTTACAGACCACAATCTCGGGTCTAATCCTGCTCCCACAATCTCAAGGAAGCAGAACTCAAATTCACTGGCTGGCTGCTGGCTCCTTTCATACCTCTGCCTTGTTTGCTCTCCAACTCGGCTGTCATGAACTGCAATTCTGCTGTACATGGATGTTTGTGACAAATCTGGATTGGAAACGCCTCTCCTCGCAGCAATCCCTGCCAAGAACACAGCTTTCTGTTCTGCATCACTTCTTTTTTTGGTCTGGCTTTATGAAGCTGACTACTTCAGTGCTTTCATAAACAGTATGTGCTTAAAATTTTCAGACACCTGATTCTGCACAAACATCCCAAATTCTTTTCCTATGAAGTCTTGTTCGTCTGAGGAGCCACGCAATATATATATTTTTAAATGCGCATACTTCTAATGTCTGAAGCATTACATAAGTTTTTTCCCCTCTCTAGTCTCTCCTAAGATTACTTATTGGAATGGAAGAAAGCTCCAAGTTTTGCATTTGCTCTACTGGGCTGAACTTTGGTTCCCAGGGTCTTGGCATCCAGTGTCACAAGAGCAGCCCTGGGACAACAAGAAACAACAAACTCAGATTTAGGAAAACAGACATGCAGTGGTAACAACCTCAGCTGTCCAAATTGGGTTCTCTTTCAGGGGGCAAAGAGTTCTTTCTCCACAAAAAAAAATTTTTTTTTTAGGTACTTTTGTGCCTGTAAAGCACTTCTAACACATAGTATCTTCTAAGGGAGATTAATTTGGCCCGGAGTTTACTGTGTTGGTGTTCTGCTCAAAGCAAAGCCTCTGTATTTCATTTGTGTTTCCTCAACTTAGTGATTTCAGAGACAAGAGAGAGGGAAAGAGGCCACAGCAGGGCCAAAATAACACACATGATCTTGGGAAAGATGGATGCTACAAAGGCATCAGGAGGGCAGGATTAAGAGAGTGTAGGGATCCTGCTTCTGGGCTTTTCCAAAGCAGCTGACCTTCACTAGCACAGCACTATACTTTGTGTCAAAGGGTTGCAGATGTCAAAGGCACTGTGAAGCTTTTGGGAGAAGGTTTCCTTCACACACAGAGTGTTAAATTCTCAGCTTTTTATCTAAGAGGAGCTAGACGCACCTTCTCTGCAAATGGTGAAATCACAGGTGAATGGACTTGAGCTCAGAGCTCAGGCGCACAGAGCACATGGTGTAGCAGAAAACCATATCCCTCTGCCCCAAACACAATCTGCCTTCAACTCTGTTGGGCAAGAAGGTGTTAGGGGAAAAGCTTGTCCCAAGAACACCTCCAGGTGACACAAGGAATCCCTCTGCTACACTGGGTAGGACAGCATAGTCTCTTACTGCGCTGCAACACTCGAAGCAAAAATACAGACACTTCCCACAGGAAACAGAAGCATTTCTGCCATGGGCTGGTTTTGTTTAGCTCATATTTCACAGCCTCGAGAAAGGCCAGACTGTCTGGCAAGTGGGTTCACTGACCTGTAGCATATGGGAAAGAGCAGTAACACAACCAGAAGTGCCCAGAGTTCTCCCTTACTGCAGGCTCTCACCACAGAGGTTTGGGATGAGATGGTGGCAGCATAGGTCTCAGCTCCAGGCTGTCCTATCACCCCCATGGCTCCTCGGCAACGAGGAGCTCCACTACACAGCCAGTCCTATCTGTACCAGGGCTTTAAAAGATACACTAAACTTACATGGGCACAGTGTCCTATCTGGATAAAGAAGGAGTTTATGTAGTCAGATATATTACACGTGGAGAAAGATCAAAAACAGATGTGGGGCAATGACTCGGTCTTGGTGCTTAACACTGAGCAATACCTGGGACTTTGACCCCACCTGCTGGGGAGCAGGTGTGAAGGTTTCTGAGAAGCATTCAGCCCTTCCAAGCACTTAAACCCACACCCAATGAACAAGGAGATCCACCAGAGCCGTGCTCTGTGATGTGTGACATGCTTCACAGGAGTACTCACTCTGCAGCCATCTTTCTTTCCTCAGCTTCATCTTTTCTTTTTTGGAAAGAACTGTTTTTTCTTCTAAACCTAGAAGAGAAGAGACATGAGATGGAGCCTGGCTCCTGTACAACAGATTCCATTCAACCCTCGATGCTTTTGAATTTGCTGGCAGGTCAGGCAGGCTGCAGGCATTGCAGGGGCTACACTGCACCTCCAACTTTTAGCCAAACGAATTAAACCCGACTTGCTGTCAGTTAAAAAAACAAGAAGCAAGTAGATCAGATCAGCAGCAGAGAATCCTAGAATGGTTTGGGTTGGAAGGGACCCTAAAGCCCATCTTGTTCTAACCCCCTGCCATGGGCAGGGACACCTTCCATCAGCCCAGGTTGCTCCAAGCCCTGTCCAGCCTGGCCTTGGACACTTCCAGAGATGGAGCAGCCACAGCTTCTCTGGGCAACCTGTGCCAGGGCCTCCCCACCCTCACAGGGAATGATTTCTGAAATATACCTGGGACAGCCCTGCAAGGAGCAGTCGATCACTAGCAGCTTGTAAAATAGGCTAGTACCTACTATTTACCAAATTCAGTATGGAAAGCAGCTGCTGAGCACTGGTATCCAATACCAAGTAAAATAACATCACAAATATTTTTACTGGCGATCTGTGGCAGATGCTATAAAATTATATCTTATCTCTGGTGTTTAAAATAAAACTGACTTTAGTCAACTTTTCTCCTGAAATGTACTGGGAATACCAGAATGCCAATGGAGGAACAAGCTCCCCAAAGATCAGTCCTCTCACCTGAGCTTATGCTTAAGCCTGGAAAAGAAAAAATAGCTTTCTTTTCCCCAAAAGAAACAGAAGAAAGGAATTCAATGCAATTCTGCAAACAACTCACTGAGGACAGCTTCTCTGAAGCTACAAATCTTTTAGAATTATTTAAACAAAAGCAGGATCATATTTTAGTAATTCCTTAAGATCAGAACAAGCCTGCTAGGGCTGGGGGGACCTTTCCATAAAGCCAGCAATCACCACCATGTTTTGAGTTTCTAGAAGACACGGAGAACAGAGCTTCTTCATATGCCAGAAAAATACATTCCTGCAGCCAATGGACCCAAAAAGCAAGAAATAAAACCATGTTTGTTGTGGCATCAAATCAGATGCTGAAACAACAAATTGCCTGTACCAATAACCAACTCTGAGCTACCACCCTCATCACTCCACATTTCTGCAGCTTCAGGGAAAAAAAGGATGAATTATGGCCAAGTGGCACATGGCACCCCGATGATATCCAGAGGGCTGCCTGCACAAGACACCCTGGCTGCCCCAGCCTGCCTAGATTTCAGCCATGGCAGTGCTGGGAAGATCTGCCCCTCATCTGGAAACATGCTCATGATTTCACTGGAAAAACAGCGCCCAGCGGGATTTGTTAATGAAAATTAAAAAAACCCTGCAATTCAGCCAGCTGGCCAATTCTAGTAATAACAGCAATTCAGGTTTGGGGGTTTTTCACCCCCCTCCAAATGGTAGTGGAATATTTAAGGAAACAAAAGCTGTTTTCTTGGCAAGAGCCCAATCTTGCTGCTGGCTGGGGATGGTGAGCGGCATCCAGGCCAGCAGCCGGAGATCTCCAGAGGGGTGCCCGGGGAAAAGGAGTTGGATCCCTCCCACGTCAGCAGCCAATTCCTGGCCTTTTCCATCACCTGCTTCCCCAGACACTCCATTTTCCATATCCCAACTTGCCCCTCAGAAGGCTGTTTTGCTGCTGGAAGGTGCCAAGTTGTGTTTGGCAACCTCGAGTTGTGATGCCGATTGCCAAAACCTCTGGAAACCCACTGGAGAACAGTGGAGGCAGAATTCGTCTGGTTAATTAACAGCACAGACTATCCCCATGGTAGTCTTTTATTCTTATTCAGCTTGCAAGCACCTTCGAGATCCAAGCCAGACCACAGCTTCACTTTAATTATTTTCCTGTGAAATCAGAAGAGTTTGGGTCCCCTTTTCCAGCCCATTCCACAGGTAATTTAAGAACATTTGCCTTTGAAACCTTGTGTGTGCAGGAAAGGCAAGCAAGCCCCATGCACATTAGCTGAGGGTAATTTCCATACATTTGACAATTATTCTTTTTAGAGAGAATGTGTTTTTTCTTTCTTCCCTCTGATCTGCGCAGTACAAGACATCTCAAATATAAACAGATTACAAAAAACCCCATAACAGCTTTTTTCCCCCCTCAGATCAAGCGTTTGATACTAGTCCTGGCAATCCTCAGCATCCTGCTTTCATGGCAGAGAAGCAGATTTTTTTTTGAAGACAGCTTCCTTAATTCAAAAATCTTGGAGTTTTTTTTTGGTAAAGGACTATGCACTCATATATATATATATATATGACTGCTTTTCATAAGGGACTCCTTAGTCTAAGCATATATATAAATCCTACCTTAGAAATCCCCATTTTATACATTCTAGGCATTCAGAAGGAAGCTGGACTGGGTTAAAGCTGTAACACCACAGGCTTCCATGCCCTAAGATTCAACTATTTGACTCCACAACTGAGAGGGTGAAAACACAGGTTTCACAGTTCCAGGAAACGACATTACTTGGAGGACTTGGCCATGAGCAGAAATATCCAATAACCTATGCAGTGCCACGTGGACAAATAGTCCTTCGAGCACCAGGCATCTGCTCCCCCCTGCACAGCTGCAGAGAAGCACTAAGCTCCACCTTGGGTATGAGGTATCAAGAAACAACATGTAATATTAATTATTATTCCCAGAACCCTGATATACATAACAGTAAAAGCTGTTGCTGCTCAAAACATAATATTTTGGCAAATTGAAGTTAAATAACAACAGATGTGTTAATTTTAGCCTCGGTTGTATAACGGCAGCAAAAATGAGCATATGCCTACAGTTGTGGGCTGAGTTCACAAAAGAAGTCACAAAGAGTACATCCAAAAGCAGAGGACTGGGTGTGGTTTTGGGTTGTTTTCCTGAATGACACAGTGTCACTTGAAAATTGTCCTCCAGCCCTTGTCCAGTGAAAGGGCCTGGGAAATGGTAACTGCAATCTCCGGAGGCACACGCAGTGGGCGTGACCTGACAGACGTCAGTGCACAGCAGCTGAAGGTGTTCCCCAGGAAGAGAGCTGAGGGACGACATGGGCCAGGCAAAAAGTCAGCCAAGGTGTCCTCTGGTAGAGGCGATGCTCCACGGGAGCCATCCTGGCAGCTCCCTGCCCTCATCCCAACCCACAGCTCCCAGTCAGTGACCTCCAGCTCCACCGCTCCAGAAAGCATTGACTGCAGAAGTGTCTGAGGAACCCATGCCAGTAGTGGGACCAAGGCTTGGAGGTGGTAAGGACAGAGACAGGGAGTGGGTATCCAATCTCTTTGCTCTCTTGCTGTTAGAGGAGCCCCAAGAGACAGCTTGGTAGCCTGTATGTGAGCACAGAGACCACATTCAGGTTTTACCCAGCCCAAGCCCTGCCACACCCTGAGCAGGCTCGGGAATCAGTGCTGGAGGAAAAGATGCCAGCTCCTGTTGAGGCAGGGCAGGTTTCACCATGGATACAGCATTTGCCTTTTATGTTCCAAAACAAGCTACATTATTTTTGTTCACCATTGTTACACCGGCACACAAGCTTCCCTCCTGCCCTGACGAAGGCATCCTACATCATGTGAGATCTGCATTCTCCAACCCTCCAGATCCCCTGGTTATTTAAAGCAAAGCCTACTTCCAAGCCTGGCTTCCCATTGGAAACCCAGGGGAGCAGCGTAACTTGCGTCCTCACACCAAGGTCATGCCTCTGCCAGGCCTGGTAAACATCCCCAGGCTCCGACCAGCTCCAGCATGTGCACGAGGCCTCCGTGTGCAGTAGAGCTGAGACTCAGCTCTTGTCAGCTGCAGAAGGGCACACATGACATGTGGGAGCACTTCCCCTCAGGAGGTGAACTGGGAAGTCACAATCTGCACAGCAGTCTGTGAAAGGCAGCTCCATAGAGAAAGTCTGTCCTTCCAAGCGATGTCTGAAGCACACCCAGCCCCTGCCACAAGGCAAAAGTACCTCCTTCTTCTCCTCTTCTGCCCAAGGGCTCGCCCACTCTGTGTGTCCTCAGCTTTCCCACTGTGTGCTCTCAGCAGTCCTCCCCAGCACAGAGCCTGACCTCTGAAGGGTCAGTCACACAGAGGATGCTCAAAGTGGCCCAGCGTGTGCCACTTTTGCAGCTGGAAGGTTATTTTTATAACCAAGGCTGAAAGAGGCACCACGCTGCAGTAAACCCAGATTTGTGAATCACACGTGCCACAAGGACTGCAGGATGCCCCATCTGAGCCAGGTGCTTCGCACTGCCATTTCACAGCACAAAGAATCACAGAACGGGTTGGGTTAGAAGGGACCCTCAAAGACCACCTAGTTCCAACCTCCCTGCCATGGGCAGGTACACCCTCCACTAGACCAGGTTGTTCCAAGTCCCATCCAGCCCTGTCTTATTGGAGAAACACCCACAAGAAGTAATGCTGGAGGACAGCAGGACAACCATGTGGCCTCTGCTTTGTTCTGCTGATGAATTTCCATTAGTACCTCTCTTCTATCACCTCCATTCTGCTCCAAACACCCTGGAGGGCAGAAAATCAGGTCAGACCCATTAATAGTCCAGGACATTGAAACGCTGCTTTCATGTACATCTTGCTGGCTGTGGAAAATATCTCATTAAAAAAAAAAATTGTAAATAACCCCATGTATTTCCTATCAGCATGTCCTGCAGAAAGCATCCTTTTTTGATTTTTTTTTTCCATTTAAAGTAACTTGTTCTTATTACACTGCAGATGCACAGTTTTGCTTGAATATAGGGGGTACCACTCACCATCCTTTCTTCCTGCTGCTTGCACATTTGTCCTTTCTCTGGCAGTCTTGCACAATTACAGTGAGCAAAAGGCCAACCAACCTCTGTGTTCAGTAAATTTGGAGGTACCCTCATACTGTTCTTCCACCAAGCATGGAAGTGGGAAATGGAAGGAAAAGGAGGAAGAGTTTTGAACTAACACAGGAAACATTTAGATTA